AGGTAAGGGAAAACCTGGGTTCTGAGGGAGCCTCTGAACAAAAGAGCAAAGGAAATCCATCCTGGAGAAGATGAGCACACTGGAGAGGCTTCCTAATTTTATTTTGATGCAGATTTTGCTGAAGTGGAAATCTGCATTTGCACAGAGAGCAGAATGTGGCCCAGGATGGACTACTGTCCCACAAAGGTGATGGCTTTGTGAAAAGGGAACTGGCACCCCAATATGCTTCTCCCCTTGGGTTCCAAAACTGTAGAAATAAAAAGCACTCTGACCCACGGTATTTACTGGGCTTGGCTTTGCTGGGAGGACCTGGACACCCCCTCAGACCTGGCATCAGCACAGCCCCACTGTGTACTCTCTTGACTGTGCGTCTCCCATGGACTTCTGGACAATAATGTTTATTAAAAGAATTTTACTAAAGGGACACTTGAAAACTATCATTGTTTTTCACAGAAAACTCATAAAGTGAGCCATTAAAATGAAGACCTTCAAAGATTTAAACAATTTTATTTTATAAGAAAATTTTATGCTGTTTCTATTTCGTTAATCCACAGGGGGAAAAAATTGAATGGAACATTTCTTGTTAGGGTTTATTTGTTTATTTATTTATTTTTCAACCAGACAGGCATTTTTTCTAAAAAAAAAACCAAAAAAAAACAGAGAGAGAGAGAGCTATGCAGTTGTATAGATTTTCATGGCTCATCTCCTGGGGCTGGAAAATGGAGTGCAAAGGGTGACTGTAACTTATTGATCAGCCAGTGGATAACTGCAGGCAGTGCTGGTATGCAGGGCTCCCACGTGGGACAGATGCCAGTCAGTGTGGGCTGCTTTAGCAATGGGACCATTGGAAATATCCCCCAGCCTTGTGCACTTTCCTGGGAATTGCTGGCAGCTTTAGGGACCTTCTTCAGACCCTCATGGCTAGAACATATTTTGGAGGGACCAAAATGTTCTGGCTGCAGGCTTTGGGAAGTAGTTGTATTTGCAGCTTGCAAAGACTCTGTTTTTCAGTTGTCCAGGATCTGAAAAATAAAGCAGCCGCTGATTGCTATGCAGCAGGGAAAGCTGGAGCATTGCTGGCTCCCACCTGGGCTGTGAGCTGTGTGTGATGGGGATGAGCAGATGTCAGAGAAATCTTTCATTTCCCCCTTCCAGAACATGCTGTCAACCTTGAAACTGCCCTGTCCTGTGCAGAGCTGGGGCCATCTGTGAGCAAAGCCCCCGCACTGCGGTGGCTCTGGCAGTTCACCCTCTGTGCTCGCAGGGACCAAGGCCAAACCCCGTCTTGTCTCGGCTGCTCAAGGCCACGCTCTGAAAATAAAGCTGCAGCTTGGAGGCAGTCCTGGCTGTTGATGGTCAGGGAGTGCCACAGGCAGCCCGGGAATGAGCCTCGATGTAACCCCACCTCAGGGAGCTGCATATATATAGATCCCTGGAAGCAGTTTTCTTCCTTGGCACATCACTCCCACCCATAACTCGCTCCAAACAAACACTCCCTGCTCCCCTGTGTCCTCACTGCTTGGCTTCCAGTAGCTTCTCTCTCTTCCAGGGTAAACAAGGCTCTAAAGTTGAGAAATCTGCTGCTGGAGGGAGGAGGGAAAAGGGGGAAGATCGCCTTGTAAGAAGACTCTGACACATGTTCAGAGATGAGCACCCAAAGTCAGCATCAGCAGGTACCAATCAGCCCTCGAGCCTGGCTCGCAGGGACACGAGGAGCTGGGCTGTGTTTGCAGTGGAGGTCACACCCTGCCACATTCCTGCTGGCTTGTCCTCTTTCCAAAGCAGAAGTGTTGTAAGGCTTCAGGTACAGGTGTGTAAGGAGATCCCTGTATGGGTGTAGCTCTGCTCTTTTCCCAGGGGAAGAGCTGCCCTGCTGCGTGCAGGCAGGGACAAGGCTGCTCCCACGGGCAGATTGATGGTGGCCACAGGAGAGTCACCCTCCACCTCACACTGCCACTTTCCCAAACCCCCTGGGCACAGACACTGTAATCTGTTTGAGTGCAAAATGAAGGGAGTTTACACTGCTGTCTCAGTGGCCAGCACGGAGCTGCTGGTGCTGCTCGGGGTAGAGCAGAGCTGGGAAGGGGGAAGGGGCAATGCAAGAACCTCAGCACTGCCAGCCGTGCTGAGGGAGCAGAGAATGGCAGAACAGTCCTGCTCTTCCCAAACCTCCCTGTGGTGCCTGCAGAGCGAAGGAAGGAGATCTGAAGCAGATCAACACAAAAGAAGCCCACAAGGTTTCCCAGAGCAACTGTATCTTCTTCCTCTTAGCAAGAATAATCACAAAAATAGTTACAATAACAGAGGCATAAGAGTCTAAACCAGTCTGAGATTGCTATTGAACACTGGTGTCACTGGGCTACCTGCCTGCAGAGCACAACCAAAGGGCACCATGGGGAGCTCTGCCTGTCCTGCACTACATTCTGTACTGAGAATTAGGAGGTGCAGGTGCTAAAGCTGCCCACTTTCTTGCCACAAGTTTTTCGGAGTAGTGTGGGGGCACTGAGGCACTTTTCCAAAGGCAGGGTGTTTTCTCTGTAAGGATTTCTTGTCCTGGAAGCCCTTTCTTATCCTCAACACTAGAAAAACTTTAAAACAAAAAATCTACTAAGAGCTACCAGAAATTCCTTATCCCAATCATTTTGAAGTAGTGATGGTGTTATTCCCACTTAATCCCAGCAGCATTGCAGCAGGTAACAGGCCATGTTTCTGTGACTGCAGAAACCAAGCAGTTCACATTAGAAAGTTATTTTTTTTTCTCCTTTCTCCTTTCCCATACCAAGCCTCCATCACAGTTTTCCTCTGTGACCATGAGCAAGTCAACATTCACAGCTCTGCTTGTTGCCAGCAAGTGGCTTTCCTATTTTCCATCTCAAAGGAAGATAAAGAAGAATAGCTAATGTCCATAAAGGGTTTTGAGATGTTGTCATAGAAGGTGTTTGGGAAATGTGAAATAGTTGTGATCCTAAATTTAGCTCTGAAAGTCATGCAGCCCAGTTTCCTGGCACAAATACCAGAGAAAGTCTTGAAATCTGAACATTTTCCAATTGCAGCCACAAGCTGGAGGCTGCAGTAGCCACGGGTGGTTCTGGGAATCTCTGGCTGTGCCTCCTGCAAGTCCTTTGTCTTGCTGAGAGCCCAGAGCTCCCACTTCATCCCCAGCTGTTCCCACCAGCAACACAAAACACCAGCAGTTTCTGTCCTTGTTCTGATCATGATGCCTCTATATTGGCCCTTCAAGAGCCCATTGTGATAAGATTATTTTTCAAATCTAATAGAAGTGGCAAATTTAGGAGAATGACAGTGTTCAAACCAGTCTACTCAGGGACAATATGCAAAATCTTTCTTGGGATAAATCTTTTAGGAGAAACATGGTGATTCATTTTAGATCTTCTACTTCGAGATATATTCCTTCTTTCCTTAATTTTTGTTAGTCCACAGAAGACAGCTCATCCTGGCCAAGACTCCATGATGAAGGTGTTAGGATTCCTTTGTTCACCTTTTATGGGTTAAATGCCAGACAGGTTAATAAAGAAGATTGGTTCTGCTTAGACAGCAAAATACGGTATTAAGTGGAACTTGGAGCTAAGTTCCTAAGTCAATTTTAAAAGGGTGTAATTTAATCCTTGAGGTACTTAGCTTCTGCTGACACGTTGCTTTATTTTTTTAAGTGCCTACTGCACAAGTGCCTGAGTGGAGAAACAATTGTTTGACGGAAAGTTGATGTAACTCCTGTCACAAAACATTGATCATAATCCAGAAACCAGGTGTGGCTCTGCCCAAACTGGAGGTGCTTGGTTTCTTCACCAGTTGCAGCTTTGTGTGGCAAAGGCTGCAGCAGGACTGTGGGCAGCCCGGGGAGTGCACCTGCTGAATGTGCATCACCGTTTAAAAATAAAAAGGGAGAGAAAAGAATAACACGGAAAATATTGCAAGGTCAGCAGATGGCAGGGGAAGGACTCATGCCTGGGCAGGGGGTTTGGGCAAGGACAGGACAAATACTGGGATGGAGGCATAGCCACGTAAAGAGGAGGTGTCTGGGATGTTCTGCAGCCCAGAAGTAATGGAGAAGCCTCCAGGTGCCGTAGTGGCATTACATCCAGTATTCAGCTCTAATGTTTTTGCCTGTTAGATTGGCTCTATTTCAGCATTGCAGCAAAGTTTCAGCCCGTGTACCCAGCCTCAGATACCCTCTGCTGCAATGCAAACATGATTGATTCAGCCCCACTGAAGCTGAGGGGGACCTGCAGATTTGGTTAACTTTTAAGTGCTTGAATGATCAGGCCCCAGATCAAGTAAAAAAGCCATAGCAATAAAAGAAATCACAAGAGGAAGAAGAAAGGAGAAAGAAGGAATAATTAATTTTGCTGCTGTAGGTCCAGAACCTGGCATGGCTTGAGGCCATGGAATGTATAAGATGTATGCATTGAATCAGTTGCCAGTTCTGCAGAGATCTCATTGCTCATGTCATAATTCACATTATTTTTTCTCCATTTTCTGTGGAAGAATCTGTCTGAATTAAAGTTCAGTTGAGCAAATGAGGGTATAGAAGAAAGCTGAAGAGCAGTAAGACCCAAGTCTGGACCACAGGTGTTCTGTAGGGGTTGTAGTATTGACAAATAAGATATATGGGTGGGAAAAAAAACCAACCTAAAAACATTAAGAGAGAAAATGTTTTATGACATAATCGTTATGCCATTGACTTTGTGCTGGGAAAGAGTGCTGAGCTGCACTGCAGGAAGCAATGGCAGGCTCAAGCTCCAAGGAGGTGTTTTTTTCCTTTCTGACCCTGGTTTATCTCTGACCAGCACAACAGTAAGTGGTTTTGGAATAGTTTTGGAGAAAGCAGCATAAACACACTGACGGCACATGGAAAGGGTGTTGTAGGGGAGGTGTAACTGTAAGGAGGGTTTGGTATTGCTAAATGAATATTTAAAGCAAGTATCTGATAAGTTCTTCACTGGCAGTTTGACTTGTGAGTCATGTTGCACAGTCCCCAGCCATGCCCCTCTCTATTTATAAAGTCATGCCTTGCTATATCTGACTTGCCAAATAAGCCTTTCAAGTTGTGGAGGGGATTCTGGTGGCATAGTGTGGGAACCAGGGAACAATTTGGAGGGGTAAGGGAAATTAGACAGGACACCACAAATCACTGCATGCTGAGTGCCCTCTGAAGACCAGATCAAATGGGCTGCCAGGCTTTTTCACCATGAAAAATTCCAGGAGGCAGGAGTGGATGGCTTCAACCTGCTGGGCACAAGGTGGAGGAAGAGGAGCAGGGTGAAGGTTCATCTGAGCCAAGCCCCTGCAGGTGTTCCAGGGTGAGTGGAGGAGCAGGGGGAGGTCGTTGCAGGGAAGCATGGCAACAAAGCCAACAGCCAGTGCTTTTCTCCCTGTGCACAGTGCCTGGAGGGAGGCTGGGGAGCTGCTGCAGCTCTGGAGTGGAGTGGAGCCTCAGTGGGGGTCCCTGCCTGCATCTGCCCTGGCCCCTGCCACACACGGGAGCCCTTTCCAGGTCACTGCCCCGCAGCTGGCTGTGGCTGTGGGGTGCCTCGGTGCTGACAGGGCTGAGATGTGCAGGACAGGAGGGACACATCTCCAGAGCTGCATCCTCCTCCCCAGCTGGCTGGAGCTGCAATAAAGCGTGTTTCCAAATGCTGACAACATACTGGTCATCAAGTATGTGCAGGACAGGAGAGATGAGGCAAAAGGACATGAGGAATGCAGTGGAAATTGTACTGGGAAGCACAGCAGGGGTGCCAATAGAGGTAGAAGGAAGAGTCCTGACCTGCTTTTTCTATCTCCTCTTCACAGACAACAGACAAGGAGGGACAAACACATGCAAATTGCTTTTAAGAAGTGGTTTGGATGAATGCATGACCTTATTTTTTTCCTGCCAGTCCTTTTTCCATAGTGGTCATCTGCAGATGACTGGTAAATGAGAGATGAGGGCTGAATGTGGGACACACATACATCCTGAGTCTGCCTTTGCAGAAATAGGGCCCCATCATGTGTAATGATTACCTGGGGAGACAAATGCCATCACTCCAAATGTCCCCCCCTTCCTCCTTCTTCCTCCCACTTTCTATACTGAGCATGATGCCATATGGTCTGGAATATCCCTTTGGTCAGCTGGGGTCACCTGTCCTGGCTGTGTCTCCTCCCAGACTCCCATTCTCCCCAGCTTCCTCACCAGTGTGGCAATAGAAGCAGCAGAAAAGGCCTTGGTTCTGTGTAAGCCCTGCTCAGCAATAACAAAAACATCTCCACATTATCAATCCTCTGTTTTGCACAAATCCAAAACACAGCCCCTTACTGGCCACTGTGAAGAAAATTAACTCTACCTTAGCCAAAACCAGCACCTTGGAAAGCAGATCCATGGGGTTACAGCATCGCCTCTTTCTGAGATTTTAGTGACTGAAGGAATTATTTTCATTCCTGCTTCCCTCTTTCTGTGTGCAGGAGCTAACTACTTTCTGCTGGATGTGGTTTGGCTCTGAAGGACTTCACAGGAAGCCAGTTTCTTTCCTGTCTAGCTCAGCAAGGCAGCACTGCCATAGTGTTTGTTCACCTACCCTGAGTGCCTTCTTCCAAAGAGGTCTTGGAGCAGACAATGGGTCTGAGCACCATGGGGACAGCATCTGGAAGCAGTCACACAGGGCTCTACACCTACAAATGAATGTTTCATTCATTTGAGCCAGAGGAATATGTTTCTCTGGTCTTGCAGGGCATGGGGACCAGAATTTTGGGTTGACAAGGATGCTCACACAGCTGTGGGAATGCCAGGAGCACAGTCCAGAGCCCCAGACTCCCAGTGTCCTCTCTCAGGACAAAAGCCAGCCACCTCATCAGCCACTGCTAGCAAAATGCCCTGCTCAGTAAGCTTCTCCTATGAGCTTGGCTCAGTGAAGAATTTTTAGCTCTATATCTCCCAAGTTTCTCAGTGTCCATCATCTCTGACCCAGGGCAAGTGGGGCAGCAGGTGAATGCTGGTGCTGGGGCAGGATCTGATGCTGGGGCAAGGTCTGACAAGCTCCCCAACCAGCTCCTTTGCTGCTCCAGAAACAGCCCCCTACACCACCCTTGGCCCCCCTCAGTGGCAAAATCAGCACGTAATTTTCCAGCAGCTGCCTGGCTGATGCTTACAGTGACACCTCTGGACATGGATGGCTCACTTTGTGTGGGGTGGCAGGGACAAGGGGCTCAGGGCACCAGGGTGGGTTTTGCAGGGAGAAGTCTGGTTCACAGGAGGCTCATGCTGGATTCCCACCAGCAGGCTGGGGAGATGAAAGCCAGCCTAGCACTGCTCTCCAGAGCCAACAGGTTCCCGTGCTGAGTGGATAATTCATTACAAACAATACATGCAGATGGCAGCACTCCCTGGGGGAGCAGCTCACAAGTGGTGCACAGGTTCTCTTCAAGAGCATCCATTTGTCAAAACCATTCTCAAGATAATTTCTGGTGCTTCAAAGGGATGCTGTGTTTCAAGCTGGGGCTTTTTCCACTGGGCACAGATTTTGCTTGCTCCCCATCCTCTGAGAACTGAAATCTGCGTGCCAAGCCTGTGACAGCAGAACTGAGGTACCCTTCTTGTAGGGATGCTGCAGGATCCACAGCTGCTTTTTGATTGCAGCTGGACTTTTTGGTGACTGTCCTGGTGAGGAGGTTACTTTGCTGGAGGATGGAGGGCACCAGAGGGGACAAACAGTTGCTGAGAGACAAATGTATTAAATTTTTAATCTGAGGAAATGGCCGTTGTGTTTGCTTTTCTGTATTTTAAATCAGTATTGGGTTTGCTGGACAGCTGGATTGCCTCCCAGGAAGTGATGAGGAAACCCTTTAGACACGATGGGCGATTTTACAGAATGTTGTGCGTTGTGAGGGGCTGCAGATACTGCAGATACTACATCCTGCTCCCCAAGGCAGGCTGGTGCTTTAACCACACAGCTGGAGGAGGCTTGGGCTGGCGGGTGTGTGTCATGCAGCAGGGAGCGGGGCTGCAGGACAGTGCCAGACAGGCCGGGATGGGCTGACAGCAGCTCCGATGGCTTCACAGCGGTGCTGACAGCGCTGAGCCCCTGCCCAGGGCTGTCCTGCCGCCGGCAGTCACCAGCGGGTCCCCGGCATGCGCCTCACCCTCCCCGGGGTGTCCTGCTCTTCCTTGCCTTGCAGCAGCATTCCTTCCAGCTCCCCCAGGCAGAGCCGGGGCATGCGATGTTATTTACCCAGGCCCAGAAAGTCCTTTTCCAAAAAGAAAACTGCAAAGCTGGTGAGAGGTTGGTAGTGCTTAGCACGTATGTGTGGGCTCCGGCTGCTGGCCGGGGTTGCTACCAAGGCAAAGGAAGGGGCACGATAAGACTTTAATCTCCCTCCTCGCTGCGGGATAAACGAAGCCTGGCTGCGGCGGCATTTCCCAGCCCGGTATCCGAAAGGCTGACCACACGCCTCTCCCGGGCTGCCGAGAGCTGCTCTCGGGGGTTTGCACATCTGCAGACTCCAAGGGGTTAAAAATAGATCCCACCCCGCTGATGGCACATTTTATGTCCATTTAAAGGTGTGCCAATCATTTCCATCCTCCGTGAGACCTGAGCAAATGCCTTCATGGTGCTGGCATTTTGTTCAAGGCTCTTTCTCCTTCCTAAGCCCGCGGCTGCCCGGGCTGGCTCCCCACTCTGGGCGCTATTTCGGGGGGCTGCGTTTGCCCCGGCTGCCCTGCTCTGAACGAGCAGCTGCGGTGTGATCGCTGGCATGTCTGTGCTGCTCCTGCCGCAGCCCTGCCCCGACACACAGCCAGCAGATAATAGGTTTGTTTTTCTGAGCAAGCCAGGGAACTGCTCTCCAAACGAGTAAAATATTTTTGATTTTTTTTTTCTTTTTTACAAGCCAGAGAGTGCTGTTAGAAAAGCACCATCCTTTCTGCTACTCGTTCGCGTTGGCCGCGTGGGATGGTTGTGCCTTTCGGAGCGGACATCCCAGCATTGTTCCTCTGGCACACGTGGTCCCCCAGGAGTCCTCCCTGAGTGCTATAGGAAACACCTGGGGCTGGACCTCTGTGCTCCAGCCACCCCATGAAGCGAGCTGGAGCGAGCCCAGCCCTGGCCCTGCCTCTGGAGCTGCAGGGTGGGCACCCGCAGTGCCCCCTCCCCACGGCCGGCAGGGTCCAGCCCTGGTCCAGCAGGTCAGGGAATTTCCCACCCGTGGCTCCTGGGCCCCAGGAGGCTGCTTAGGGTGTGGATGGGGTGATCACAGCACACAGCCGGGCACCTGAGCATGTTTGGAAGAAGCAGAAGCAGAAGCAAAGAGGAGCTGCTGCCGGCTCTGCTGTGGAGAAGAGCAGTGAGTGGGGGCTGGCACCGATGTGGTGGCACTGGTCTGCACCCTTTGAGGCATGTGCTGCTGCTGCTTTGGCAGGGAGAGGGGAGCAGGGAGCAAGGCAGGAGCCCATGGCAGGGGGATACCAGCAGGTTTCCTCCCCAGGGTGATGCTGGCAGGAGCCCTGTGCTGCTTGAGAAGGGGCTTTCTCTGCTGGCATCTGCCAGCTCACGCACAGACCAGGCCACCACCTCATGCCATATGAAACCCAAGGAAGCTTGGATAATCTCCAAAGGGTGGATGAAATTCCCATATCAAGCAAGCTTCACTGTAGCTCTGCTGAAGTCCAGGGAGGTTTGCCTTTGTGGGAAGACCTGGGTACTTTTAAAAGGGGCTCCATTCCTGCCCCAGGATCCCCCAGCCAGTCAGCGTGGCTGAGACCATATTAGGGATCCTCTCCCTGAGCCTGAACTGCTTGTTTCCACCAGGTTCCCCACAGGAAGGCTCCCTGAAAGGTTCCCCCCTGCACTGTCTTAATGAGGCAGTGAAGGCAGCATCTTTGGGGTGAGAGGCAGGGACAATGCTTGTCCTCCAAGCCAGCACTCATCCCAAATGGGTAAAAGTGAGGACAAGCCAAGGTGCCAGCGGGGAGAGAAGGGGGAGTTGTCAGCCTGTGCCCAGCCTACTGCTTGTGATTTTCCAGCTCGCCTTTCTCTTCCTCACCACCATTTCCCAGTTTTTTCTGCTGCTCCTGTGCAATCTTGGAAGCAATTTAGAAACTTATCTCAGCAGCCTTACCCGTGTTCAGAGCTGAACCCTGGAAGTGACTGGCTTTATTTGGGATGAAATTCTGCACCAAGAAGCTGGAACTCCTGCTCACCTGCCTTACCCGTGTTCAGAGCTGAACCCTGGAAGTGACTGGCTTTATTTGGGATGAAATTCTGCACCAAGAGGCTGGAACTCCTGCTCACCTGCAGGGTACTGCTGCTAGGGCAGGTTAACCCCTCTCAGGAGCTTCCTGCATAGTTTTCCTCTTGCCCTCATTGTAGCATCCTCCTCCACCCATGTGCTCATCGGGATCTGGGGCATCCTTTGGGACTTCTTCTCTAGTGATCTGGGAAAGAACTTCAAAAATATTAGTTTTTCTGAACTGGTGCTGGAGGTGCTTCAGAAAAAAAATGAGGTAGCTGTGGCAACCTTCACAGACTGATTTCAATGCACATGGTCATGGCACTGCGATCCATAGGAGTTTATGTTCAGATGACGGTATTTTTGTGTTGAAGGCCCACTTGTTTCCAGGAGGAGGAACAATGAAATTAGGTTGCAGAGATTTCACAAACTGACAGTGAAAT